CAGATTTAAATAATCGTTTTTTATCAGCACGAATAGAACTAATAACGAGATTACGATACTTTTTATAAATCATAAATAATCGCGCAGGATGCTGTTTTAATTTTGATTTTAGAAAAGCTGAATTTCTCTTTTTTTGGAGAGAGCAAGGGACACATTGTCGAACAACTGACATAAAGTGATCGTACCATATGGCAAGCACGTGATTAGTATCATTGCATAAGTTGAATGAATATTACATGTGAAGTAGTAAAAAGAAAAAGTCCATTCAAGATTACTCGACGCCAGAATATTTCTTTTCTGTTGGTTTTTTCGCTCTCTTTCTCTTGTTAATGTTTGTTCTAAAATTTTTTCTTCTTTATCGCATTATATATATGTCGTTTTTTGAGTCGTTTCTGCATGTTGTTGGCCTTTTCCAGGCAACTGAATTTTTTTCTTTTTATAAGCTATATATATATGTAAAGTACTGAGACAGGAGGAACGTAACATTTACATCATCCACAAAATGATTTTCAGTCACTGTAAGTTTAATTTTTTTTATTTTTAAAATATAGTATGTGAATTTTTGTACAAAAAATCGTACTATCAAGTGTGCATACGGTAATTGTATTAATACTCATTACAGCTTATTTGAACAAAATGTATCACCTCTATCTATATGTATGGAATATGAGCATTGAATAGTATAATTGGTTGACTTTCATTTAGTAGGTTTTTTGTTTCTATTTCAATATGTAATGGTGCTGACGTTGAATTTTTTGGAATTGATAAGAATGTTATTAAGTTCTTTGATGCTGTGAATTCCTTTTGTTGTAGTTCACGTTCACCATTCAATCGTATCTTAAGATCTGAAAAAAAGATGAATAACTGAGAACACTATCGACGGTAAAAAAGCAGTGTTTCGTACCCTTTTTGCGAATTACTCCTAAACAATTTATTTTAATACATTGTCCACCACCAGAACACAATCGAGGGGGATCAAATGTTGTGCATTCTGGTGCTCTTCCATTTTCTACAATAAAAATTTCTCTAACGTGCAAAAACATAAGTGAAAGTTTTCTTGGCAAATATTTCTATGTGTGATCCGCTTTAAAGAAGAATGGTCCTGAGTAGTTCTCGAATAACCCTTAACAATGATAAACATAATTTCGTTGTTTTTGCTATCCAAAAGGCTTTCGAATGTGTTTCCATAAGCAGAAACGTTTTCAGGAGGTTTTCTTATAACAGATGTCCGAAGATGATCTTCCAACAATCTACTTGTATCTATCTCATAATTCTTCGATAAGATTATATTGTTCTTTTTATGGATTAGTGGTTCAGGATATCTGCTTCGAAAGTGCATTTAAGCAAGTCTTTAATTTTGAGCAATTCCGGCACGATATTGGATTTCTTCGGTAACCATTAGTAAACGAAGACGGTTGGATCCCCAAAGCTACTTGTCTTCGGACTCGGCAGAAATTCAATACTATACCTGAAATACTCAAAATCAAAGACTTGCTTAAATGCACTTTCGAAGCAGATATCCTGAACCACTAATCCATAAAAAGAACAATATAATCTTATCGA